GTGTAAAATTTTACCTAGATGAACTCCCTTCAGAAAGTGTGACACACCCGTGGAAGATCACAACTTTTCTCGACCAGGATATACACTTTGCCCAGAATGTAAGGGAGAAAAGACAAATAAACCTCATGAGTCACAGGGATGGGCTGAAAGAAAACATGCCCACCTGAGCACTTGCACCCAAGTAGTCAGCAAGCCAATAGGTGTAGTGTGGTTGGGGTGCAGTCAGACCTCATCTTGACTCTACTGAGCAGGCTCTGTTTTTGAGAGGTGACCCGCACTACACTGACAGTGTCACCACCACTCCACTTCTCACTGTATTGTGCAAAGATCAACCAGTGAGAATTATCCATGATCCATCACCTAGTGGATAGGAACTGGTAAGTGGTAAGGGTCTTCTGTGCTGCATTTGAAGAAGAGGGGGAGACCTGGATCCCAATCAAACAACCAGCTGGAAAGGTCTATTACTGGAGACAGTACAATGGTTGACCACAAAACCCTGTTTTTAAAAGCCGGCAAGTGTGAGCCAAATAAATGGGCACGACACTACCCTGATGCTAGATTTTTCCATGATAGCCCATGGGATTGGTACTGTCTGAATTGGACAACTGAATAATACGAGATGAATGTGTGGAGAGTCATCCATATGCCTACCTGAAGGATCTTGTCTTGAGGCCAGCAAAGATGAGAAGCAAGAGAGTGAGAAAGGTGACAAATCAAATGAAAAGAAATGGAAATAGCTGGTAAGCATCCACATCTAGGGAATCATAAAGTAACTGGAGTGGGTGAAGGGCCCATCCAGTAAGAGAAGGATGAGGAACAGGGGACCAGAAGAGAGGAAGCCTGGAGTTAAGTAGGGTAGCAAATGCATCTAAGAAATGCCTACCCAACTAAAAGCAACCCCAAAGAAGGACCTGGGGGTGTAGAAACCACTTTGTTGGTAGAATAAAAACAAGCCAATAAAGGAGGTTGTCCATCATCAAGTTCATAGCTCCTGGCAAATGACAGGCAACAAGACAAACCTAATGTGAATGGGTCCAGAAAAGTAGATCAATGCCTGAAAGCAAAAGGTCCTGGAAAGAGTGCTCCTGGATGGATGATATAAGAAACGACCATGGAACTGTTGAAGTGGATCATGACCAAGTGATCCACCAGTGGGTGCAAGAATAGAAACATGCCTGAGGAACAACTAGAGGTTCAAGCATACTGATGTGGAGTGAATGCTTGTCCTGCATCCAAATGCCAAAGGTCATGTCCTTGTCCAGAGATGCACCTCAGTTTGAGATGGAAGCATGGGAATGCCAAAAGTAGTATTAGCACAGTCCAGCCACCATGACAACTTCTCAAAGAGTGAAGGGGGAGGTTCACAAATAAGGACAATGGAACCCGAGATAGAATCCCTTGGATCCATGAACATGAGGGGGACGAGGCATGTGGGTATGAGAGAGGACCTGTTAGAGAAAGAAAACAGTAAAATCTGTAACAACAAGCAAGGAGGAAAGACAAGGTAAATCCCAATAATTGGAATCATGGAGTAAAAAACAAGAAATGTTAAAGAACACAGGCAAAAGATAAAAAAGGAACATACCTGAGAATGAAATCCAGTAAGAGATTGGAAGGTTAGGGTGTAACGAATTTGTTATGTATTTATTTTAATATGAACATTGTTTAGATAAAATTTATATTTAGAAACATACATAGCTTATACTGTTAGATAGGTATTGTGAAACTCCCACCTATTCTCCAAAGTTGTAGAAGATTTTCGAGAGTAAGAATCAACAATATATGTATATACGTAAACGTTTAAAATGTAACTTGCATTGTTACGTAAGACTGACATTTCTAGAACGCCTCCACACAGGTATAAATATAACCAACGCAATGCGCCAAAAAAAGGAGAGCATCTATTATTAGTTTGCTATAGTCAGTGTGCTATAAAACTTCGAAAGCTATAACTGTGGTTTTTTTTATTT